TGGCGCAAGTTATTGTATAGTGATCCCACCATATGGGGCTATTGTGTACCGGAAGCATGGGGCCTCCATGATCAAGATCACACTTAAGGACGAGGCAAAAGGGCGATGTTGGAATGTTCTTTGAGCATTCCAATCCTTTATTTTGACACATCATACCTCAAGAGAGTAAGGCCTCACATTTTGTGCTACTATCCGAGTCGTGTTTTCACACAACTTATTTTGAAGATACCCTGTCGGAGTAAACACCCTCACAAGGGTATCTATTCGGGTTTGTTCAATGTTGGACGGTGTCTGACCTTTTTGTTGAATTGAAGGACTTGATGAGACTGACATTTGCCAAATGCCTGTGGGGGACCCAAATCCACCATTGGAATGCCTGTGGGGGACCCAAATCCAGCATTGGACCGAACACAATGGGTCCCAGCACGACCGAATGGATGAATGCGTTCGGCTGTTCATGGGACCACCGAACGAAATCAGCGAGCTCCGGAGTACAAAACTAGTAAGATTTTCATGCCCGGCCGGGCACCCGAGCGTGCAAAAAAATAAAAATAAAATTGTCTTTCTGCAGTCTTCCACATGACCCCAAATACAGGTTTTTTTCCTTTTTTTAGAGTTGGCTATCCAAGGGTAGGAAGGGGGGTATAAATTTGTTTTGAAGGGGCTAAGGGGGTTTAAAGGGGTGTGCCTCAGTGTGATTTTGTTATTTTCTTTCCTTTATCCCCGGTTCAATGAGGAATTCTGATGTGACCATCAACCAAAAGTTTTTTGTATTGCAATTCTACACAACATTTAATTTTTCTGAAATATTTCAACTTCCGTTTATTTTTATTTTTTACTTTGCTATTGCACCGGGGCAGCCCAAAACCCTGGCCGGGGGTCATGCCCGGCCGGGCACCAGGGCTGCCGGAAAAACAGCCTACTACAAAACAAACATTGCAAAGGTTACATAGAATCATTTAAACAATCATGCATCGACGAAGCCCTAAATTTCTCTGTTTCACATTTTTTCCTTAAATAACTAGTAGTTTATATGTTCCATGGGGTGCACACATCTAAATTTGTTGTGCTTCATCAATGATGATTGTGAAGTGTCATCTGCACAACAGGCTATGGATTGGGGATTTAGTGGTGTAATGTTAAGAGGTTCAGGGGTTTCCTGGGATTTGCGAAAAGCAGCACCCTACTGTGTTTATGACAAAGTAGAATTTGATATACCCGTAGGTACACGAGGAGATTGTTATGATCGTTATTTTGTCCGCATTGAAGAAATGCCACAAAGTCTTCGAATCATTGTCCAATGCTTGAATCAAATGCCTAGTGGCATGATCAAAGCGGATGATTGTAAACTTTGTCCTCCTTCACGCTCTCAAATGGAACAACGACTTTCTTTCCTATGCATTTCTTAGGTCTTGCGGGCATGCCACGCCGCATTCCAGATTATCCAGACGCTTATGCCGGATGGAATGCACTGAGTAGTTTTGGCTCTTATCTTTCTGTTGTAGGAATTTTAGTTTTTTTTGTGGTTGTTTATCTCACTTTAAAAATTCACAATTAACAAATTAATTTTCTTGTGTGGAAATATTTATTTGAAAATCAAAAGTTGAACATTGTTTAATCAATTATCATCCAGTTTACATAAATGGAACTTCTTTAATAACAAAATATTGTTATTTTTGAAAAATATTATTGTTAGAATACTAAATATATGTTTGCATAATGTTTATATATATTCTTTGAGGGCTCACACCAAATTTAAGGGCATATACCCACATACAATCGTACACTAAAGGCATGCTCCGTTTCATGCTCGCTTCGAGGGTGTCCTACGATCATACACTCCCAGTTGCAAACATTACGAGGCTTCTCTCTTGCATCGCTTCGACGGTGTCCGAGTCCGACAGTTCGAGCATTAACCGCATTGCTAAAGGCATGCTCTGTTTCATGCTCGACCAAGCCGTGCTCTGTGAGTACGATACCGTTGCCTACCTTTCCACCATTGCAAGTTTCTTTCATTGCTTCGAGAGTTTCCGAGACACTTGCTAAATGCAGGCTCTGTTTCATTCTCGACCATCTCGTGCTTTGTGAAATACGATGAATATGATAGTGATGGTGACCTTTTAATCATTGCAGGTTTCTTGCATCGGTTTGAGGGTGTCCAAGTCCAACAGTTCCGAGCATTAACCTCGTTGCTAAATGCATGCTCTGTTTGATGCTCGACGAAGTCATGCTCTATGAATACGACAGTGCTCTGTGAATGTGATAGTATTGCCTCCCTTCTCTTCTCGTGTCTACTCCTAATAAGCCATTCCACTGTTTTATTTTCAGCTTGTCTGTATATTACTTTACAGGAGAATTCCATATAGGTTTTTCAGCATCCAGTCTCGAGCTCTATTCCAGACTTCATTCATAGCACTGCTACAATCTCTATGTCCAAACAGTGATACAGATTCCGTAGGTTTGCCTCCTTCAATAAGTATAACGCCACCAACAATTTTTCAAATAGACATTCTCCTGCCTCGTTCATCCTCCAGAAAACTTCTGGTGCTGATTGCAATATGACCCATTTTGTTGCCCAAACGAAAGCTCCGTTCCACCTCACACTGCCAGAACACTGCCCATGCACAGTTGAGAATCAAAATCGAGCCAGCTGACCCTTTGAATGTTCAGGTTACATCAGTGCTGAAAACTCGGTAGGACCCGGGGGTCATCCCTAACCGGAACCGGACCGGTTACCCCCCGGTTGGCTGTAGCACATCTTTTTTTTTTTTTTTTTTTTTTTTTTAGCCCATGGTGTTGTTGAGGCCAAGGACTAGACCCACAGTCAGCCGGTGGTTGTCCTGACAGGATATTCCACCTTCCCTACCCTTCCCCACGTTGATGCTCCCAACGCACCCCCTATCCCTACTATCCTACCTCAGAGTCAGGGCCATCGCCCTACCAGTATCGAGGGCAGTCACCAGACAGCAGTGACAAACACCCCCTAACCCCCACCCTTCTTTTTAAAATTTTTGGGTGGGAAGCACCGTCCCTACCCTGCCACTAACACCCCAGTGTGACCAGCACTCAGGACCATCACCCTACCAGTATCGAGGGCAACTTGGACGAAACACCCCCTAACACTACAACCCCTACCCCCCTTTATTTTTGATTTGTGAGGGCGTCGATTCGACAGTGACAGAGCATATGAGTTGTGTACCAGGGGTGTGGACTCTGCGTACGCGGTTACGTGACATGGCAACATGACTCCGTCCGATGCGTCCTGCAAGGGCGGAAAAGTCTCCACAATGCTGCATCTGACATACACGCGACAAAAATGATTCAAAGACCAACCAGAAGCTTCTGAGGCACTTTTGCCCAAGGTCCAAAAACACCTTGCATGCCAAAAAACAACAAAGTGCCATGGGCCTCATTTTAGTTTGCTCTGCCAGCCATCTCCCTCAGGCTGCCGAACCTTGAAAGTTGCAGCAGCATGCAAGCGGCAGCTTTGAAAAAATGGCTGGGAAGCATACTTGCAAGCGGACGCCGTCCGGGCAGTTCCGCACGTGCGGCAGACAGGCGGACCGGACCCGGGCAGCGCACGAATGTGCGCCCGACGACCAGTTACGCCCCCCCCCCCCCCCCCCCAAAAAAAAAAAGGCGGTGTCCGGTCTGGTCCGGGTCCGTCTGGTCCAGGGGGAGGATGCCGCACGCGGCAAAGCGGACCGGACCGGACGAGTCTGCTTGCAAGTATGCTGGGAAGTGTACTGGTGGTCTGAAAACCACAACCAGATGGCCCAGGCAGTTGGTAAAACAATATTGAGTATTATTGACAAATTAAAAAGTCAGCTAATTGGCCACTTAAATCTACGACCTGCCGAACAATTGTTGTTTGGCGAATACATTTTTAAAGACGGTACATAGTTAACCATATCGGCAAGAAGATTTGCATAGCGGGGTCGAGAGTATATGAAGGCCGACCAATTACTGAGCCAAAAATCCACAGCCTCGCTTCTTTTTCCGGCGTGGATTTTTGCCCGAACCTAGGAGATCCAAGCCATTGGGGTCGACGTTTCGAATCGACGCCTGTTCCCCGGCCTATGATGGAAGTGCCATGGAACTGAAGATGGGTAGGGCCAACAAAGGAGGAAAAGACGAGGCACGACCAGCAGCAGAGAGGATATGGCAGCAAGATCCCTCTGAATCGCGATCATCGTCACCTGCAATCGATTATGGCAGGAAGGTCCCTCTAAATTGGCATCCTCTCACCACCAGTGTTAATTAAACGAGGGAAGAAAAAGGATAGGGAGTGATCAAACTGTTCGTTGGTTATCAGATATGTGAAAAGGTCTGCATTGCAATTCCATAGACCCTCGACTTCAGCAAAAGCCACATGAGAATCTTCCATATGAACCATGCATATGTCCAGGGGCGGACAAAGCTAAACCATGCACTGTGAGAGCACATTTTGCTGAAGAACGTTTGCCCTTAAAGGCTTCAACCTGTTAAAACCTCACTCACATCCGTCCCGATTTCCATCGCTCTCTTCAAGAACAAACGCAGCATTCCTAGTTTCCTAATCTGCACCATCGAACGCTAAATATGGTATTCCAGCAACCTCAGCCAACAAATATCAGGTAACCACACCCCAGAGTAACCACCAGGACATCAATAATAGCCTGAAAGTAATCTTCCAGGGCCTAAATTAATTTCCTGATCTGTGGTACCGGGCAGAACAGACGATAACAATGGGCTCCATAATAGCCTAGCATCATTTTTTCAGGAGTCGAAGACGAGACATTGCGGCATCCTGAAAGTAATCTTCCAGGGCCTAAATTACAGGAGAGGCCTTGCAAAAGGCAAATGAAATCTTCGAGGACACGGGACAGCTGCAGCAGCAAGCCCTGTGGATTACATGACATAGCAAATATGTATATTCACATATAACAAGAGAGAACACTCCCCATTCTCACTACTTAACAAGAAATAAAACCATGCACATTCCCAATCGCTGATTAGTATAATGTGCAGCCAATTTACTGGTGCGTGCGTGCGTATCTGCCCGCATGCTGCTGCCGATGCATATGTTCGGTTAACACTGGCTCTCAAGACACCTGCGTTCCGATAACCAGAACATTCACTCTCGGATATCAAAAGACCGGGAAGCAGAAAAAACTAATCTGCAAAATTTTTACCCCTTCTCCATTCCTAACCCCAAACAGCATCCGCGCAGATCTCCTACGGCAGTGTGTACCTAATCAACCACCATACTCGCCTCTCGAAAACTTGTCCTCAGGATAGTAGGTTGCAATGACAGTGTTGCCACCAAACTTTCTCCCATGTAATGACGCTTTCGCTTTTGCCGCCGCTGCCGAATCCGAGTATTCCACAAAAACCTGGCCACCCACATAAAAAAAAAGAAAGAGGAAGAGCACACCCAACATCAGCGCTACTGAGACACCAGGCACCAAACCGTTTCCACCTATTCACCCTTGCATCCGGTGTGCATACACCCGCAGATTGCGGCAGTTCAGTTCTTCCAAACCCAGTACATCAGAATTGAGTCTTGTTGTCATTGCATGTTCATCATGATCAGTTGGCTGCACAAAGTCTGTGTGGTTGTCCACGTGCATGTTAGCATCGAAAAGAAACCAACTGTGCTTTTTCTGTTACACCCACTTGGTTTCCGGCTCCTCTTCATACAACACCATTTTTTTTTTTTTTACAACACCATTATTCTCATCGGTTTGCAAAATCAAATTTTTATTCAGAAATGCTACAAGAAGATAATACAGAAATAAGGTCATGTATTTGTATTATTATAATAATCGTACACGTAATTCTTCAAATTGTGGCGGAATTGATCGAATTCATATTTATCGTAGAACCGATTTAGTTGCCAAAGCTTTTACAATGTAATCACCCTTGCATGCGTGCATACAACGGCTGTTCTTTTGAAATCCAGTAGACGAGGGTCGGGTCTTGTTCTCATAGCATGTTCATCGCGATCAGTTGGCTGTGCAAAGTGTGTGTGAATGTCCGTCTGCATATCAACATCGAAAAGAAAAGGTGCTACAGATCAATCAGGGGTAGTACTGACGTATGCCGTTGTGACTGTGCACACGCCAACTCGAAAGCCACATTGCGCACAGATGCAAGTTACAACAGATCACCTTCCCAATCAAGGGCTCAAATTTCAAAGCGTTTCCTGAGGATGCCATTCACCCATTTCAAAATTACCCATTTTTGTGCACGCCTGCAAAGGCTCCCAAATATTTCTGCATATTTGTGCAAGCTAGTGTGGGTCCAGATGTGCTCGTGCACACAGGCATGTTCCTGCTCGAGTAAAGCAACGAATGACAATCCGTGACTCACCTTTGCCTCCCTGCCCTCGTTTACAGCCCTGCGATCTCCACTCTCTCTCTCTCTCTCTCTCTCTCTCTCTCTCTCTCTCTCTCTCTCTCTCTCTCTCTCTCTCTCTCTTTTCTTCTTCTTCTTCTTCTTCTTCTTCTTCTTCTTCTTCTTCTGGACCATTTCTCAAATTCTGCACGTCATCCTTGTGCAGGGGTCATGATAAACTTCTCCGTAACCTTCGAATTTTAACAGATGTGCTGAAGGACTTCTGTTTCATATTTTCCTCCTGCCCCGTCTACAATTTCTGCTTCCCTTATGATAGATGTCCTGTCCTGCTTGTCCCCTTCACTCCATCTTTCATTCTGTGCTCCTTTTCCACCCTACCTAGCCTTTCCGTGGAACACATGTTGGTTTAGGAATTCTTTCCGAGTTAGTGAATACAAAATGGGTGTTTTACAACAGCCAAACCATTGACTCTATACCTCCCATAAATAATGACCGTCCGGAATGTACCCGACAAACTCATTTCGCGATTTTGCAGTTACTTAAGCTTGCTTCATCGGTTTATTTTTTTTTAATTATTCTTTATTCTTATCTGGACTAATTGTCGGTTTGTGTGTCATCCTTGCGCAAAGGCCATGCTAAACTTCTTTGTATTTTACTTAACTTATTTATTATGCATACTACCTAAGCTACCAGAGTGGCCCGGGGTCACTTGCCCGGCCAGGCCAAAACAAATTAAAAAATAAAAATTTAAAAAAATACAAACTATTTTTAAATTTGTTTTTTTTTCTAATTTTAAATTTGGTGAAGAATTTCGATGTGACCCTGAGGCAAAAGTTGTTCAGTTTATTTTTCAGCATAACATAGTTTTTTTTTCAGATTTTTTGGATCCTTTTCTTTTTCTTTTTTTTTTTCTTTTTGCTGGGATCTTCCCTGGTCCTTGCACGGGCTGGCCACCGGGGACCCGGGCGGCCCAGCTGGTAGCCTAGCATACTACTTATTTTAAGTTATTTATTTATTTACGCATATTTCAACCAATTCTCGATTCGTGTGTGTCATCATCCTTGCGCAAGGCCATGCCAAACTTTCTTTGCGTTGTTGCAATTTTAACAGCGGTCCTGAAAATGAGTTCAGTTTATTTGGTGATCTCATGAATTCCCATCACGACCCTTGTACCCTTCACCGCATGTTGACTGATAAGTTGATAACACATATCACAGCGCAAAGTGACCAAACCAAGATAGGAATAATGTCCAGCAATTGTGTTTATTACTTTTTAACTACTAGCTCACCTTTCCCAGTCCAGCCGTTTCCTCTCCTGTAGAGCTTGGCCGAGGTATTACCAAATCTGTAAGCGTTCCTGCATTTGCCAGCAACAATACAAAAATAAATATATCAGAAAGTGAATCGCTCACCTCATGTTTCCCGATGAAGAGTGTGCCTCACAAGGTACTATTCAGCATCATCAGATTGTTCAACGAAATCTGTTTACGATATCGTTGTGCGTGCACAGTGTAAAACAACATTCAAATTTCAACATACATTTCTCAGCCATTTGGCTAAGACCAAGCATAGCATATGTTCTGAAGTTCTGAGTTGCGCCCGGACGTCCAACAGCTGAGACCCACAACGGAATCCGGTATTTCCACAGAAACGAGCTGCGCCAGAGCCAAAGCAAAAACTGGACCTTCGAGTCGAGACAATTCTCAACATGTTGAGTTTGCTATCTTTTCAAATCACTCCGACAGCTGAGACCCACCACGAACCAGAGCAGCACTTACCATATTTCCCACACTCTTCCCGCATATCTTCCATGATGTCCTCATACTCTTCATCGTCTTTAAGCTCTTCTGGAGTAACCACCTACAATTCACATCGATAGGAAGCCGTCAGCAAAAATACCACAATCATACCGACTGCTACCGTCTTCACCCGACAATAACGCCCGTGCCTTGTATTCAACTTACCCTAATTCTCGTTTTTACTCACTATTCCTCACCCCTTCAAATAGAACGCGCCTTTGAATAGAACGCCTGGGCGTTATATTCAAACAGAACGCCCGGGGATTATATTCCAATAGAACGCCCGGCGTTATATTTGAATGTTCCATGGGCAGAATACCTTGAAGAGGGTATACATGGGTTTTAAAGGGCGGCGAAGGGGGTATACATGGGTTTTGAAGAGGGTCGAATGGGGTATATTTCGGCATGATTTTTTGTTTTTACTTTTTATTTCCGAGTTTATAAGGAATTCTGAAGTGACCCTCAGCCAAAAGTTGGTCGCATTGCAATCCTGGACCACTTATTTTTTTTAAAGAATTTTTCGTTTTTTTTTTTTTTTGGAATTCTGGGGCCTCACCGAAGTTGCCACAAATTTAGTGACTATAACACCCGGGCGTTATAAACAAATATAACGCCCGGCGGGCGTTCGCACACAGCGCCCGGGCCTTACTTTCGGGTGAAGACGGTAGTACATGATGCACAATCCTGTGTCCCTTTTTTCGCATCAGCATGGCCACAGAAACACTCCCTATGAAATTATGAATGCTTGAGAGCACCACCACCAACATACCAGACAAGGCCATCGAGTGGGCAAACTGGAATAGAGACTAGTAATGGAGTTGCCTAAGGACAAAACAACCAAGGTAAAAGGTCACAAGCGATGAGATTAAACAGTCTATTAAACAGACGATTAAACAGACGATTAAACAGACGATTAAACAGATGATTAAACAGACGATTAAACAGATGATTAAGAAGACAAAATTACACAGGCAAAGAATCCTATTCATACCAGGGCTGGTCGCCGGATGGACCGGGGACCCCTACCGCATCCGCGGTCCTTCCGGTTGGACCGGCCGGTGGCCCGGGCCGGTTCCCTCCCGGTTGCCCCCAGCGCATATTCGCTGGGGGCTGAATTTTTTTTTTGTCGGCGAGTATGTGTTCCCAAGGCCTCGTGGGGGCGGTACCTGCCCCGCAATTTCGAAACCGGGTCCTGTAGGCCCGGATTTTTCAAGTACAGAAAGTGGCCAATCTTGGCCGCCGATCGTTGCAGATCAACGGCAAAGATCGGCCAGGACCCCATTTCTATAAGAAAAACGGGCAGACGATATCCGCCGCTGATCTATGCAGATCAGCAGCGGAGAACACCCATGCGTTTTTCCTAAGATGTGGGTCAGGTAGGCCCCTAATCCAATTTGTCATCTTGTTGTCCAATGGACCAGTTACCATTGGCAACATCTGATGCTCTTTCACCCTCAGCCACGAGGGGAACACTATGCTTCTGATGAGGCTCTGCTGAGATTATATCCTTCTGCGACGTCCCTGCCATCTGTGGAAAAAAGTTATGGGTTGATTTTGGAATTGTGATTTCAGAGCCGTGGTGTATCTTTCCGAATTCTAGCGGAAGATTCACTCTCTTTTTGCACATTTCGAGAGTAGTGCAGCGAGGCCCATATTCTTCTATCTTTTTTTTTTAATTCTTTTTTTTTAAGCTATATTCTTCTATCTATCTATCTCGAATGGACCTTGCTCCACTACATGTATCTGGACAGAATGCCAGACAAGATACTTCCGGACTGACAACTCACCTTATGTAGGAACCAACAAACAGAAAACGCTCTGCCTCCACGAGCAGAAAGCTGGAACCATAACTTTTCTGCTGTCGAAATATACTCTGGAAGAGCTATAATTTCGGGCAAGGACCTCCTCTCATCATATCTGGTTCAGCTGGTGGGGTATCAATATCAAATGACCTACTCCACGAAGTGCTCCAGCGACCGGGGGGGCGGATAAGTGAACTTGCTTACTTGACCGCTCCCTGAGGAAGCCGTAGTTGCCTGAATGTGTCAATGATAACCCCCTGCCCCCCTCTCGAAGCCCCCTGAAAAATGTTGTACCTTAAAAATTTTATTGCGGATTCGGACAGCTCTTGAAGAGCGCAGTCGGAATCTGCCCAAGGAAAAAAAAAGAAGATATTTGGGCACTTTTTTTTCAAAACCGGTTTCCCGGTTCACCCCCCCTGGTCTGGTCCAGCTCCGGTTGCACCGCGGTAGCTCAACCGGCCGGTTGCCGGCCTAGCACTGATTCATACACATTCTTCTAGGCAGGGCTATAAATTACACTGCGGAGATGGACGGCCACAACACAACCATTTGCATATATATATATATGAAGGCGAAGGGAAATTCAAGCAACGGAACCCACTTGCTAGACTGAAGATGTGCTCCGCAGACCGATTTCTCAGACCACTGCGAAAATTTGTGAAATCACCACCCACCCCCGTGAAGGCTTTTCGAATCAGGGCATCCTACCTGAACAAGGCACACAACTCTTGTCGGAACCTCGGCAGCAGAAGTCGGTTGGGCCGCATGATTATTTACGGCAACTGGATTCATACTGGCCACCATGCTGGACATGCTAGCCATCATACCAGGAATCAACCCGGACATTCCTGACATCCCTGACATCATGCTGGACATCGATGGCATTCCCGGCATGACTGAGTTCATGCCCAGTCCCACAGCATTCGCTCCCGTCGCTCCTAGCGCCAGTCTCTGCTTTAGAAACCATAAACAAAGCCAAGTGTCAGCCATACAGCTCCAACTCACACCTGCACATTTGAGCTCATGGACACCACACTAACAAAGGTGTTTGTTTCCTAAGAACCTTTCATGCATTCACACAGAATGGCATTCTATACTTGATCACACATGAAGAGAAACCATACACCTTACAGCTTTTATCTTATTCAGTCAGACACATCATAGAAAGGCAAAGCACCAAACGAAATCAGACGCAAACATGTCAAGCACAAGTGTGGGGAAGACATCATGTCAAGCAACGTTGTGTTGGATGCAGCCAGAAATTCTAGATACTGGACCTCGCCGCACTAACCAAATGCACAAAAGACAAAAATGATGGGAGTGCACCTTTCCACGTTCTAGCAGAAGATTCACTCTCATTTTCTACATTTGGTGAATA